CATTGATGCGGGTATATCGAAAGGACACGGGAATGAACTGAAAGAGCCCCCAGTGGCCAACACTGGGACAATTTGAGCAGCAAAATAAATGAAGTAGATTGAATTATAACCCAAAGTATAAAGGAAATACTAAAGAGTCCATACTGATATAAATACACCTACTCCTCACTTACTGACTGTCTCGTTAGCCAACATTTTGCTTTTACAATAATAGTAAAATATCTACTATTCTGGGCATTAATGACGTAAGTCTGGAAGTAAGAACGTTGAGGTGCGAGTTGAGAATAGCACTGGCTGTGATTGTTGAAGTTATGTGTCAACTTGGCTGGACCATGATTCTCAGTAGTTTGGTAGTTATGTAATTATTTGACAGTCATATAATGAGGTAATTTGGCAGTTATATAATGGTGTAGTTATCCTGCATTTTGTGATCTGATGTAGTCATCCTCCACTTTTGCATAATGATCTGGTCTTTGTAACCTAACCATGTGGATAAGTGAGGAGTGGGTGTAAATGGCTGAATAAATTACTGCATGGGGGAGAAGAGAGAAATCTCTCATGCAGAAGAATTCCAAGTAAATTATGTAGATACTCTACTCTGAGGAGGAGGAGCATAACTTCCCACTCCTTCAGCATGGGTTCTGCATAGTGGTCTCCTTCCAAAGAGTACAGCATGGAAAGGGGGGAGGAAGAGTAACTTTACAGTGGAGAAGCCTCACAAATACTACTTCAGCTGGGAGATCAAGGTCAACATCGACACTCATGAATTATGTTGACTGTATGTACCCTTGATGTGATACAATGAAAATGGCACTTTACCTCTGCGTTCTTCTTCCAGAAACCCGTAACTCCAGTCTAATCATGAGAAAAACATCAGACAACTTCCAACAGAAGAGCATCCTATAATATACCTAAACGATACACCTCATAAATGTCAAGGTCATCAAAAGGAAAGAAAGTCGGAGAAACGATCACAGCCAAGAGGAGCCTAAGGAGACACGAGGACTAAATGTTATGCGGTCTTGGAACAGAAAAAAACATTAGGTCAAAACTAAGGAAATCTGAATGAGCTGTGGGCATTAGTTGATAATAATATATCAGTATCGGTTGATTAATTGTAACACATGTAGCATACTAATGTCAAGTGTTAATAGTCAGGGAAACTGTGGAGGGGCATATATGGGAACTCTGTACTCTGTTAAATTTCTGTGTAAATCTAAAACTGTTCTAAAAAATGAAGTCTATTAAAAAATTCACAAGGGGTTTGCATTATTCTCTGAAACATGGTTGTGCGAGTTAGAATTATGAAGTGGAGAAGACGACCAGATTACCCTGTGGCCCAGCACTTCCTGCCCCTTCCTGCACCCGAGGGTGCCCCTTCCCCAGAAGCCACATCTCTGGTGTGAAGAAAATGGGAGCTGCCGTGCTCCGAAGAACCTTGTGCTCTGACTCCGTTATTCTGAGATGTTGGGCATCGAAGAACAAAGAGGCAGCCTGTCACGGTGGCTGGGGCTGTTGGCCCTGGAGCCCAACACACTGAGTTCAGATCCCAGCTTTACCTCACCCTGGGTTACCCAGAGCACACTGTAAACTTCTCTTTGCCTCACTGTTTTCTTTTAATCTATAAAACAGGACAGTAACGACACCTCAGGGGGTAGTTACAAAGATGAAATGAAATAGGAAACACCTCAACTGTCCATCAACTGATGGATAAGCAAAATGTGCTATATACTTACAATGGAATATTATACAGCCACATAAAGGAATGAGGTATTGATAAACACTACGACATGGTTGAACCTTGAAAACATTATGCTAAATGGAAAAAGCCAGATGCAAAAGGCCACGTATTGTATGATTCCATTTACATGGAATGTCTAGAATAGAGAAATCCACAGAGAGAAAGCAGGTAAGTGGTTAGGGGGAGGTATGCTGAGGGGGAGAAGAGAATGGGGACTGACTGCTTATTGGGTACAGGGTTTCCCTTTGGGGTGAAGAGAATGTTCTGGATCTAGATAGAGGCGGCGTTTGTGCAACACTGTGAGTGTATTCAATGCTACTCAATTATACACTTTAAAATGGCTAACGTGGTAAATTGTATGTTATGTGTGTTTACCACAATAAAAAAAAATGGAAGAAGATAAAGATTAAATGAGATAGTGTTCAAAAAATTTAGCTGATATTTTTATGTTTATTAAAAATTTTAAGTCTGAGATGCGGGTTTCTAAATCCAGAGGGCCAGGCTTTGCTCCATTTTTTTGTTTGGGTTCCTGTGTTTTGTTTTGTTTTTGAATCCATTATTCCATGGGCCTCTGGCACCTGGTGACACTAGAGGCCGGGAGCAGGCCTCTGTCTCCTCTCCAGGCACAGCCACTGACCGCCAGTACCCCGGCCAGGGGCACCCTCGGTCGTTGTCCTGAATGACCCAAGCAGTGGAACATAAACAGTCACCAGGAGACAATAGTGGCAGGAAGTCTCTGCTCCCGGAGCAATGGTGCCCATGAAGGAGGCTCCCCAGCCCCAGCCCTGGGTGGGGGTGCCAGGAGGCCTGTAATAAACCGTAGCCTCCCAGCCCCCACCCTGGCAAGGCCAATGGGCAGGCAGCCACTCAGCTGAGGGGAGCCCACGTGATGGCTGTGGGTGAGAGCGCTCGAGGGCTATGTGTCTTGGGGAAGTAGACCTGCCTCTCCTTCAGCAAGCCTGGAGGCTCAACCCTGCCCTGTGGGTTTCTGGGCAATGCTGGGCTCTGAGTGGGAACAGAACATGGGGCTGGGAGGGACTCGCCCCAAGACGGGGCTGAGCAAGCCCACCCCACTCAGCATTCCCTCGGCCTCCCTTTGGACCTGGCATCCTACCCGCCGCCCTGCGGCCCTGGCTCCCCCACACAAGGTCTCGGAGGAGGAGGAGGCAGGACTCGGTTATGGGTCACAGCTGTCACGGGGGAGTTTTTAGGCCCAACTGTGAGTAAAATACTGTATGTTGTAATTTTTTTTTTAATTTAAGATAACACATTCACATGACTCCATATTCAAAAGGCACACAGGTCCCCCACCCCTTTCTCCCAGACACCCAGTTCCTCCTAGAGGCAGCCAGTGTCTTCAGAGACTTCTGTTTCCACATGGAGCTATTTTATGCATAGCAACCAAAAGTCAATATACAGGACTCTTTATAGGGCCCGCTCCCTTTGCCTCCTTGGATGCAAAGGGCAGGGATCAACATTTTCCCATTTTACAGATGAGAAACCTGAGTCTCAAGGAGAACCCAGTGACCAATCCAAGGTTACACATTGAGGGAGGCAGGAGCTGGCTACCCCACCCTCCATCAGGTTCAGGGGCTGGTGAAAGCCTTGTGCTAAGGAGGGTGTGGCCACGGGCAGCCAGTGAGCACCCTGCTGGGTGGCCACAGCCTCACCTGTCACGGGGTGAGGGAGCGGGGATGGCTGTGTGAAGCATGTTCCCACTGTCCACGCAAGAGTTAGATGGTTTCTGCCCCATTTGGCTGCCCTTTGGGAAAGGAGGTGTGAGGAGGGCGTGGGGGTTATTTATAACAGGTTCTGGATCATTGCAGAACACAGGCTTTGTAGTTTAAGTCCTAGCCCTGATGCCCGTCAGCTGTATGATCTAGAATAAGTTAGTGAACCTCTCTGAGCTCAGATCCCTCGTCTATAAAATGGCGATAACAGGATCAGCTACTTACGGCTATTGTGAGAGCAGAATAAGATAAGGCATGTGAAAAGCTCAGCACTGCGCCTGGCATTGCTTCATGAAACGAACATTTATTGTGTACCTACTATGTGCCAAGCACCTACTATGTGAGGATACAATGCAGCCATAATCCGGCCCTCAGAGACCTCACAGACTGCAGACCCATAATAAGAGCTCCCAAACAGTGGATATCATTATTCAACAAACAGCCAAGTCTCCTCCTGGAGAGGAGACCAGCATACCTGAGCCTCCACCGTGTCTGTATCTCCTGCTTGGCCGTGAGGCCGTGAAAGGAGGGGCCAGCAGCTGTCTTGTTCCCCCACGATCACATTCCCATCTGGTATAAAGTAGTTAAAAAAAAAAACGAAAGTTGCCATGGAGTCAACTCTGACTCATGGCAACCCCACATGTGTCAGAGCAGAACTGTGCTCCACAGGCTTTTCCAATGGCTGATTTTTTGGAAGTAGATTGCCAGGCCTTTCTTTTGAGACACTTCTGGGTGAACTCGAACCTTAAGCTTTTTGGTTATCAGACGAGTGCATAACTGAACCACCCAGGGACTCCTTGCTCACGAAGGGAAGCTAAATGCAATGATCTCCAAACCGGAATATCCCAAAGTTTGAAACACAGACCTCTGGGGGAATGCAAGATGATGTTACCTGGTGCCCAGATGTGGCATTAAATAGCATGGAGTAACATGTGAGCACATTAGGTCTTTTCAAGCTTTCAAATTACAGCAAATGAAAGGGTCGGTGCTAGTGTATCTTTAACACTCATGAAGGCCCCTCCCCTTTTTATTTTAATTGAGGTTTAATTTACATGCAGTGGCAGGCCTCAAACTCAGGGTCACTGTCAGGCAACAGTATCTGGCAAGAACGGGTGTCTTTGTTTTACTGTCATTGTATTTTTGACCTCTGTCTATGTATGGCAAGTGAGAGATAAAGTTTATTAGATACATTTATTTAAGTTAAAAAAATAAGGAGGAGGAGAAGAAATTCAAGAAAAAGCATCAAAGAAGCAATTTTCCAGATAATACAGGAGATGGCAAAACCAGTGTGGATGGTTGCGGGGAGGCTAAGGGCCGGGTACCCCGGGCAGATCACCAGCTCTGAACCCGGAGGAGGCCGGAGGGGCTGGGCAGGAAGGCAGCGAATCCGTGGGGCCAGGAAGCTGCACCAATCAGGGAAGACCCTGCTGCCCCGGAAGTGCCTCATGTCCCGTGGGGGCTGGGTGGACACACACATAAGAGCTCCAGGCCAGCCGCCAGGGCCACTCCTCCGCTCTTGCCCAAGAACCATGCTTGCTGCCACTCTGCTGGCCCTGGCCTTGGCCCTGCTGGGCAATGCCCATGCCTGCTCCAAAAGCACCTCCTATGAAGCTGGCATCGTGTGCCGCATTACCCAGCCTGCTACCCTGGTGTGTAAGTACCACTGCTGCCCCTCTGTCCATCCGTCTGTCCATCCAGGGCTCCTCGTAAGCACACTCACTGTGCCAAGGGCCTCCCTGGCCAGAAGCCAGTCCTAGAGCCAGGAGCCACTCAGGGCAGCTTCAGCCCAGGGAGGGGAGTGCCCTGCAGTGCAATGGGCTAAAGCAGAGCCACCCTCTGTCTCTCCTGACCTCACCTTCAAGGTCAAGCTCCCTGAGGAGAAGGTCCCTGCTGGGCTGTTAGCGGCCAGGTATAGGGGTTAGTGTTGGTCTGGGACTCAGGGTCAATCTGAAGTTTCAGCTAAGGTTCAGAGCAGAGCCAGGCGGTGGGGTCAGGCCCTGGTGAAGGTTCAGAGGTCAGTGTGTAATTGATGTTAGGGGTCATTTTATGGCTAGGGCCAGGGGTCAGCATGAGTCCAGGCAGTGGAGGCTGGGTCACTGACTGCTGTGTGGCCTTGGGCAATTCACTTCCCCTCTCTGGGCTCAGTACAACAAAGGAGGCTGAATGCAATGATCTCTGAAACAGACTATCCTGAAGTGTGAGACACAGGATTGTAGACTTTGTACACTGGGGATTTGTACTGGGGGTCACAGCATGGTCTGGGTGAGCCTGGGGTCAGTGTGTGTCTGGGATCAGGGGTGCCATTTGACTGGGATCATGGGTTCCTGTGTGTCAGGATCCAGAGGCCAGGGTATGAGTGGGATCTCTGGCTGGAGTCAGAGTTCAGTGTTCTCTCTATGTCCCCAGAGAATAGTCATTGAACTTGTACCCAGAATGAGGCCCAGTCCCGCCCCTCAACTCTGAGGCTTGATGGAGGCCTTATCCTCAACCCAAAGAGTCCAAGCCACTGCCTGTCTTCCAGTGAACCAGGAGACCACCAAGGTGATCCAGACGGCCTTCCAGCGAGCCAGCTACCCAGACATCAAGGGCGAGAAGGCCATGATGTTCCTTGGCCAAGTCAAGTATGGTCTACACAAGTGAGTCAGGGCTAGGTGTGAACAGGCTGGGGCGAGGGGACATAGCCTGGGACTTGTCCCCAGCCCACAGCAACGAAGGGCAGCCAGGATGACTCAGACGTTTCACTTGACTTGGTACTAGGGGCAGAAGCCCAGCACCTCCCCTCACCAGCCATGATTCTTCATCCTGTCCCCTACCCTACCCCCATCCCCACACCTGTGGGGATTTATTCGTGTGTATCAACTGCCCCAGCAACCCCTGTCAGATTCAGGCCTTGAAAGAGTCCTTTCCCACAGATGGGGGCAGATCTGGGATAAGAGGAGGCAGAATAGAGCAGACTCTTGGCAAAATGGGTCTCTTGACTGGACTTGGGATGATAGTGACAGCCCAGGGTATTCTATGGGCCACGCACCTTCACAAACATCTTATCTGCAGCAGCTGCTGTCAAGTAGACTCTGACTCCTGGCAACCCCGTGTGTGTCAGCGTAGAACTGTGCTCCGTAGGGTTTTCATGGCTGGGTTTTCAGAAGCAGATTGGCAGGCCTTTCTTATAGGCCCCTCGTGGTGAATTTGAAGTGCCAAACTTTTGGTTAGTGTGTTAATCATTTATACCACCCAGGGACTCCTGTTCTGCACCATCTCCCCCAATAGCCCTGCTTAAAGGACACAAAAGCCCAGAGAGGTTCAACAGCTTGGAAGTCACACAGAGAGGCAGGGAGAGCATGTACGAAACAGGCCTGAGCACAAAGCCAGGTTGCCTCCTGGAACACAGACACCTTCCCGGCCCCTCAGGCTGCCCTGGAGCCTGGGTCCATGTCTGTGCATCTGTATGAGATCCCACAGGAAGAGACCTTATCTTTGTTCTAAAACCAATCCTGCCCCCTCCCCTCAAAAGAAAACAAAGAAGAGTTTAGCATAGGCGGGCTCTCTTTACACAGGTAACTTGGTACTGGAGTTCTTGTAAATCTTTTAAAGCCACTAGGGGGCGCTATTGATGCTGGAATGCCGCTTTGCCTTTGGTGAGGAAAGCCGCCACCTAGCTCAGTCCCTTGCCCTGTGTGTGACCTTGGGCTTTAATTTCCTCTTCTGTAAAATGAGGATAATGCCATCCTCGACCTACATTACAAGAGGTCAGAGATGGCAAAAGTGCCTTATAAAGTTGAAAGAGAGATTATCCTTAAACAAATCAGCAGTAATCCAGTAAGTCCAGACTGTTACAGAATTGATTCATTAACATACAACTTTTATCCAAAACAGAAATGGGTAGAGATAAAATACGACTGGCCATGAGGGATATTAGTTGAAGTTGGATAATGGGTATAATGAGAATTCTTTATACTATTCTCTCTTTAAAAATAAATAAATAGAACAGAGCAGAGAGGGAAAAACAGATATACCTGGATTCTCCTTGCTGGGCACAGTAAATTATAGGGCTATTAAATTATATTATACTACATTTATATTATATTATATTTACATTACATTATATTATATTATATGCCACTATAATACTGGGAGCCATGGTGGCGCAGTGGTTAAGCACTCAGCTGCTAACCAAAAGTTTGCCAGTTTGAACCCACCAGCTGCTCCGCGGGAGAAGGATGTGGCAGTTTACTTCCATAAAGATTGACAGCCTTGGAAACACTATGGGGCAGTTCTAGTCTGTCCTATAGGTCACTATAAATTGGAATTGACTTGACGGCAATGGGTTTATAATATAGTGGATGGGAAAGGCCTGGGATCAAATCCCATCTCTGTTGAGGCTGTTTTAAGCCACACAAGCTTTCTGAGCCACTTCACCTCTGTCTAGTGGGTACAACAATAGTAGTCACCTCACGGGGTTCTGAGGATTGAAAGGAAGCTCCAGCAAGCTCTGGGCAAGGTGCCTGGCATGTGGTAGCTGCTCAGTGCCCAGAAGCTGCTTTTATGATGTCACATTCCACATGCGGAAGCCAGGCCCATGGAAGGGGCCTGCTGTGCATAGAGTATGCGAGAGTCTGATTGTGTCCCACTGTCAAGGCTGCCTCTGATCTCTGCCCTCCATCGTTGCTTCCTGGGGTTCTCACTGAAACACCCTCTGCAGCACAGATTGTCCCTCATGCTCCCCCCTGACACTTGAAGCCAGATTCCTCACGTTGCATTCAGGGCCCTCCCCGGCCTGGCTGAGGCTGCCTTCTGAGCCGAGCCTCCTCCTGTTCTCCTCCAAACTGCCCCTCATCCTGCTCAACTCTTGTATACCCTTCACTCCAAAATCACCTCCTCAAGGAAGCCCTCTGAATTAGTTCTCTATTGTTGCCGTAACGAATGGCTTAAAACAACACACATTTATTATCTTACAGTTCTGAGATCCAGCACTGGTCTCACTGGGCTCAAATCAAGGTGTCAGGGAGGCTGTGTTCCTTCTGGAGGCTCTAGGGGAGAATCATTTCCTTTTCCAGCTTCTCGATGCCACCCACATTCTCTGGCTCATGGCCCCGTTCTCCTCCTTCAAAGCCAGCAACAGTGCATCTCTTTGAGTGTTCTTCCAGAATCACAGCTCCCTCCGTCTCTCCTCTTCTGCCTCCTCCCGCCACTTTAAAAGACCCTTGTGATTGCACTGGGCCCACCCAGGTAATCCAGGATCATCTCCCCTCCTCGAGATGTCTGCAAATTCCCTTTTGTCATGTAAGGTGACATATTCAGTTTTGAGATTAGGAAGTAGATGTCTCTGGGGCCTCTCTATTTTGCCTCTCACAGCCTCACCGGTCCCCCAGGCAGAGTTGGAGGCTCGCTCACTGGGGCTCCCTGAATCACCCAGTCCATGAGGGTGATTCTGTCCCTCTGTGCATTCTGAGCTCCAGGTGAGAAGCACAGGGCTTCTCTCAGTACAGGCCATGATTGAGCAAGTGGGGGTGTGACAAAAACACCCCTTTCCCCCTCACCCCTGGGCCCCACGGTGCCCACCCATCCCTCCACTGTTCTCCCAGCATCCAGATCAGCCACCTGTCCATCGCCAGCAGTCAAGTTGAGCTAGTGGAAGACAAGTCCATCGACATCTCCATCCAGAACGTGTCCGTGATCTTTAAAGGGACCCTAAACTATGGCTACACTGGCGCCTGGGGGTGAGCATTCCCACTCCGCTGACATGCTGTGTGGCCTGGACCGCCCCCTGTCCCTCTCTGGGCTGGAAGGCTGGAGGGCAGAATGAGGGTCCTGGGTCCTTGGCTCTTTGCAGGTTGGGTGTTGATCAGTCTGTGGACTTCGAGATCGACTCCTCCATTGATCTCCAGATCAACACGGAGCTGAGTATGCATCCTGTGCCCTGGGGAGGCTGGGAGGCCGGACTCCAGGGACTGGTCTCAGCAGAGGGGAGAGGTGTGCAGGCAGAGGGTTCTGAGGTGCAAAAGGAGGCACAGCCTGGGAAGTGAGGTGGGGGCCCCAGAGCTGGTCAAGCTCCCACTGGCCTGGGCAGCATGCGGGCATTGCCCGGTGGCCGAGGCTGCCCTGATGGGGTGTTGGGGCCTATCTGCAGCCTGCGACTCTGGACGTGTGCGAGCCAATGCCCTTGACTGCTACCTGTCTTTCCACAAGCTGCTCCTGCATCTCCACGGGAAGCGTGAGTAAGTGCTGAACTTCTGTGGCCCCCATTCCTTGTTTGTGCCCCATCCCGTCCATGTGAGCCCTTAAGAGTGGAGGGTAGTGTGTCCACTGCCCTGTGGGCAGCCAAACCTGGGGACATCAGCACCCTCAGTGGGGTCATTTCCTCCCCTTCCCCATCAACACCCCCAGAAGGGCTGGAAATAATAATAATTAACAATTGTTGATAATTTGCTATGTCCCAAGCACTTTTCCACACCAACCCTAGGAGACTGATTCTGTTATTATCCCCATTTTTACACATGGGGAAACCGAGGCACAGAAAAGCTAAGCAGGAAAGAAAAACTCGTATCCACTGAGTGCATCCTGCATCCTAGACATCACACTAATCCACAGCTAAAGTTCGTACCCAGTGCCAGTTGGGTGTTCCCTGTGAGCGAGGCACTGTGTTAACGCAGTTAATTTAATCCCCACGACAACCTTTGAGCAGGCGCTATTATTATCCCCATTTTAAAGATGTGGAAACTGGCTCAGAGAAGCTAAGTAACTTGCCCAAGGACACACAGCTCGCCATTCAGGGGGTGGGTCATGGGTAGGATTTGCATTCAACGTCCTGCAGCTCGAGAACCTGAGCTCCTGAGCACTCTGCTCTCCTGCTCCCGGTGAGGAGCCCTTTGTCTTGGCTAATCCTCTGTCAAGGAACTGTGAGTAGCCCCATTGCACGGAGGAGGCTACTGAGGCTCAGAGAGGCAAAGGGACATGCACAATTCACACAACCAGTGGCAGTCCCAACTGGAATGCGGGAGGGCCCTGGTGTGGGGACAGGGAGGAGCCCTCTGTTCAGGCCTCTCTCTGCCAATGGAGCAGACATGGATCTGGGCTCTAGCACGTCCATGTGTGTGAATGTGCAACAGGTGTGAGCGTCACTGGGACTGGGGTCCCCCGAGGAACTCTGGGGTGGCGCAGCGGTGAATATTTATATCTGAATCCCAGCTATGAAGGCCCTTGGGAGTGGCTTCACCTCTCTGAGGCTCAGTGTTCTCAGCTGTGAAATGGGCATGATGATGTCTGCCTCTGGGGCTATATGAGGGTCCCGATGTTGGCAGAGCCCCAAGCAGTAGGCGCTCACGGACCATGCAGGCTGGAAGGCGCTCACTGTACGCTTGCTCCCCTCAGGCCCGGGTGGATCAAGCATCTGTTCATAAACTTCATCTCCTTCACCCTGAAGCTGGTCCTGAAGGGACAGGTGAGCCAGGTCTGCTGGCCCCATCCAGCCCTGGCGGTCCGCCACAGGGAGAACTGAGCTGTCCAGGGTCATGCCCAGGGGGCTGGACCCACCTCCCTCCCTGCCCTTCCCTGAGAAAAGAAAGTGCCCACTGTGGCCAGGCCCCTGTGCCCATTCGCAGCACTGCCAGCCCACCCAGCCGGAGGGAGCCACCATCCTCGCCCCTACTCTGGCCTCCTCTCCAGGTCTGCAAACAGATCGACGTCATCGCCAACATCATGGCTGACTTTGTCCAGAAAAAGGCTGGTAAGTGCATCTTGGCCTGCCTGCCTCGAAAGTTAATGTGGAAGCTGGAAGGTCACCTGTGGTCACTGTGTGCCCTTGAGACGGTCACCCCCCTAGATGGGTCTCATGGCCCCTGTCTGACTCTGACACTTGGTAATTAGCTATGGTCAGGCTATGACAAGTTGTTTCCCCTGACCCTGTGCACCCCAGGACCCACTTTACAGATGGGAACACTGGGGCTGGAGGCTGAGGGCACCTGTTTGTGGAAGGGGGCAAGGTTGATGAATCAGGGCAGGTGGGACCAGACCCCAGTGTCTGGGCCCCTGTGGGCTGGTTCCCCCAACCTGAGGCCCCATCTTGGTGTTTCCCTTCCAACAGCTGACTTCCTATCGGACACAGACACCCAGGTGGACATTTCCTTGACAGGACCGCCTGTCATCAAAGCTACCTACCTGGAGTCTCATCACAAGGTGGGAATGGTGGGAGTGGTGGGAGGGTGGGAGCAGGGCTCAGCCTGAAACCTGGGCTGTGTCCTTGCCTGTGCCCTGACGCCCATCTCCCAGTTTCTATCCCATGGAGGCCAAGAGCCCACACTGGCCAGGCCCAGACCAAGGCCCAGGCCCATTGCCACACCCTCTGTAGGGTCTTTCCTGATGCCACAAAAAAGGCAGGGCCCACAGCTCTGAGCCCTCTTGGCAGGCATCAGAGCTCCCAACTCCAAGGGTCCCAGCGCTGCACTAGCCCCTTCCTAGAGGGCTCATTGGCTTTTGTCAACCAGTGGTATGGGGGAGTTACCCGCCCCCCATCCTGGCTGGGAGGATCTGACAAAACCCTTGTATCCTCTGTTACTTTGGATACAGATTCTGTTGCTGTAACAGAAAGACCCAAAATAATAACAGCTTAAACAAGATAGACATCTATTTCCCTCTCTCACTTAACGGTCCAGGTGTGCACAGTCCAGGATGGAGTTGGTGGCTCCATGGGGTCCAGGCTCCTTCCACGGTGTACTCTACCATCCCCAGAGTGTGGGCCTTGTCCATGTGGGCCAAGATGGCTCATTTGACCAGCACCACATCCACTTCCAGTCAGTGGAAATGGAAAAGCAGGTGGTGGTGGGGTCATCCACTTAAGGGCATGACCCAGAAGTTGCTCCCATCACTTCTGCTCACTTCCCTTTGTCCAGAACTTAGTCACATGGCCACACCTAGCTGCAAGGGCAACTGAGAAATTTATTCTGGATAGCCATGAGCCCAGCTAAAACTTGAGTGTTACAGAACTCTAAGAGAGATGGGTAGAATGAAGTTTAGGGAGCAACCAGCCGTCTCTGTGGTGGAGCTTCTCCCCAGAAAAGTGTACAAAATAATTTCAGGGATTTATAGACACCCCTGAAGCCCATTCACAGACTACTGGGCTGGATGATGTTAGAGGGGCCAGGAACTGGGCAGTGTCTCATTTTCCTGATTTTAGCTGGCAGGGGCTGATGGTCAATTGGCTATCCGCTCTGTTAAGGTGCAGGGCCTGGTGGTCAGCCAGGATGGAGGTGGGGGTGTGAGGTCCATGGTCCCCCAGGAGTTCTGATGGACATCCTTGCTGACATAGAAGCCCATGAGGGTGGGGACCATGTCTGTCTGCTTCATCTTACATGCTGGTTGGGGCATAGCAGGCACTTGGGAAATATTTGTTGAATGAATGGAAGATTAGCTGGGTGGGGCCCTTAGTTCTGAGTGCAGCTCTTCCTCAGTTTCTACACCTACACTCCAGGTTGCATGCTTTCTAAGGCTCCTCTTGGTCCTGCTGAAGCTGATACGTGGGGAAGGGGAGGGGAACATCCAGCCAGCACCTTGGCTTTCTCCAGGGTCATGTCGTCTACAAGAATGTCTCGGAGGACCTCTCTCTCCCCACCTTCTCATCCTGCCTTTTGGGGGATTCCCGCATGCTGTACTTCTGGTTCTCTGAGCAAGTCCTTGACTCCCTGGCCAAAGCTGCCTTCCAGGAGGGCCGTCTCATGCTTAGCCTGACGGGGGATGAGTTTCAGGTGAGTAGGTCAGGCCAGGCTAATGGGGGAGAACATGCATGTATGTGATATGTATGCATGTGTGCACACGTGTGGAGGGGGAGGGAACTCTGTGAGGCAGGCAAAGGATTCATAGACTGTCTAAGCTAGAGTAAAAATAGTAAAGTCCAGTGTCTTAGTTATCTAGTGCTGCTATAACAGAAATACCAAAAGTGGATGGCTTTGACAAACAGAAATTTATTCCCTCACAGTTTAGGAGGCTAGAAGTCTGAATTCAGGAGGTCAGCTCCTGGGGAAGGCTCTCTCTCTGTGGGCTCTGGGGGAAAGTCTTTGGCATCAATCTTCCCCTGGTATAGGAGCTTCTCAGCACAGGGACCGTGGGTCCAAAGGACATGCTCTGCTCCTGGCTCTACTTTCTTGGTGGCATGAGGTCCCCATCTCTCTATTCACTTCTCTCTCCTTTTATCTCCTGTAAGATAAAAGGTAACGCAGGCCACAACCCAGGGAAACTTCCCTTATATTGGATAAGGCATATGACCTGAGTAAGGGTGTTGCATCCTACCCTAATCATCCTTAACATAACCTAATCATGCCTCATTAACCACAGGCAGAGATTAGGGTTTACAACACACAGGAAAATTATATCAAATCACAAAACGGAGGACAACCACACAATACTGAGAATCATGGCCTAGCCAAGTTGACACATATTTTGGGGGGGACACAATTCAATCCATGACAGTCCAGCATCTATTGAGGCCTACTATGTGCTGATGCTACTATGTGTCTGTCAGTTTGTCCTACTGTGGTGGCTTTCGTGTTGCTGTGATACTGGAAGCTTTGCCATCGGTATTTCAAATACCAGGAGGGTTACCCTTGGTGGACCGGTTTCAGTGGAGTTTCCAGACTAAGACAGACTAGGAAGAAGGACCTAGCAGTCTACATCTGAAAAAGTTGGCCAGTGAAAACCTTATGAATAGCTGTGGAACATTGTCTGATACCGTGCTGGAAGACGAGCCCCTCAGGTTGGAAGGTACTCAAAATACGACTGGGGAAGAGCTGCCTCCTAAAGGTCAAGTTGACCTTAATGATATGGATGGAATCAAGCTTTCAGGACCTTCATTTGCTGATGTGGCATGACTCAAAATGAGAAGAAACGGCTGCAAACGTCCATTAATAATTGGAACGTGGAACGTATGAAGTATGAATCTAGGAAAACTGGAAATCATCAAAAATTAAGTGGAATGCATAAACATCAATATCCTAGTCATTAGTGAGCTTAAATGGACTGGAATTGGCCATTTTGAATCAGACAATCATATAGTCTACTATGCTGGGAATGACAAATTGAAGAGGAATGGCATTACGTTCATCCTCAAAAAGAGCATTTCAAGATTTATACTGAAGTACAACACTGTCAGTGATAAGATAATATCCATACACCTACAAGGAAGACCAGTTAATACAACTATTATATCAAATTTACACACCAACTACGAAGGCCAAAGATGAAGAAATTGAAGATTTTTACCAACTTCTGCAGTCTGAAATTCATCAGACATGCAACCAAGATGCGTTGATATTTACTGGCAACTGGACTGCGGGAGTTGGAAACAAAGAAGAAGGACTGTTAGTTGGAAAATATGGACTTGGTGACAGAAACAATGCCAGAAGTCACATGATAGACTCTTGCAAGACCAATGACTTCTTCATTGCAAATACCTTTTTTCAACAACATAAACAGTGACTGTACACATGGACCTTGCCAGATGGATACACAGGAATCAAATTAACTACACTTGTGGAAAGAGACAATGGAAAAGCTCAATATCATCAGTCAGAACAAGGCCCACTGTGGAACAGACCATCAATTGCTCATATGCAAGTTGAAGCTGAAGTTGAAGAAAATCGGAACAAGAGAGAGCCAAAGTATGACCTTGAGTATATCCCACCTAAATTTAGAGACCATCTCAAGAATAATAGATTTGATACATTGAATACTAATGACCAAAGACCAGACAAGTTATGGAATGACATTAAGGACTTTATACATGAAGAAAGCAAGAGGTCATTAAAAAGACAGGAAAGAAAGAAAAGACCAAAATGAATGTCAAAAGAGATTCTGAAACTTGCTCCTGAACATTGAGTAGCTAAAGCAAATGGAAGAAATGATGAAGTCAAAGAGCTGAACAGAAGATTTCAAAGGGCAGCTTGGGAAGACAAAGCATTATAATGATATGTGCAAAGACCTGCAGTTAGAAAACCAAAAGAGAAGAACACACTCATCATTTCTCAAGCTGAAAGAACTGAAGAAAAAATTTAAGCCTTGAATTGCAATATTGAAGAATTCTACAGGGAAAATATTATATAATGCAGGAAACATCAAAAGAAGATGGAAGGAATACACAGAGTCACTGTACCAAAAAGAGTTGGTCAACATTCAACCATTTCAGGAGGTAGCATAAGATCAAGAACCTATGGTACTGAAGGAAGGATTCCAAGCTGTACTGACGGAATTGGAGAAAAACAAGCCTCTAGGAATTGACAGAATACCAGTTGAGGTGTTTCAACAAATAGATGCAGTGCTGGAAGCACTCTGTGCCAAGAAATTTGAAAGAAAGCTACCTCGCCAACTGACTGGAAGAGATCTGTATTTGTACCCATTCCAAAGAAAGGTGATCCAACAGAATGCAGAAATTATCAAACAATATCATTAATATCACACACAAGTATAATTTTGCCGAAGATCATTCAAAAGCAGTTGCAGCCGTACTTCGACAGGGAACTGCCAGAAATTCAAGCCAGATTCAGAAGAGGATGTGGAACAAGGGATATCATTGATGATGTTAGATGGATCATGGCTGAAAGCAGAGAATACCAGAAAGATGTTTACCTCTGTTTTACTGACTATGCAAAGGCATTCAACAGTGTGGTTCATAGCAAATTATGGATAAAACTGTGAAGAATGGGAATTCCAGAACACTTAATTATGCTCATGAGAAATCTGTACTTAGACCAACGGGCAGTTGTCGGAACAGAGCAAGGGGATACCGTGTGGTTTAAGGTCAAGAAAAGTGTGCATCAGAGTTGTATCCTTTCACCATACTTAACCAATCTGTATGCTGAGCAAATAATCCGAGAAGCTGGACTATATGAAGAAGAATTGGGCATCTGGATTGGAGGTAGACTCATTAACAACCTGAAATATGCAGACAAACAACCTTGCTTACTGAAAGTGAAGAAGACTTGAAGCACGTACTGATGAAGGTCAAAGACCACAGCCTTCAGTATGGATTACACCTCAACATAAAGAAAACAAAAATCCTCACAACTGAGCCAATAAGGAAGATCATGATAAACAGAGAAAAGATTGAAGTTGTCAAGGATTTCATTTTGCTTGGATCCACAATCAATGCCCATGGAAGCAGCAGTCAAGAAATCAAAGGATACATTGCTTTGGGCAAATCTGCTATAAAAGACCTCTTTAAAGTGTTAGAAAGCAAAGACGTCACTTTAAGACTAAGGTGCGCCTGACCCAAGCCATGGTGTTTTCAATTGCCTCATATGCCTGTGAAAGCTGGACAATTAATAAGGAAAACTGAAGAAGAATTGATGTCTTTGAATTATAGTGTTGGCGAAGAATATTGAATATACCATGAGCTGCCAAAGGAAGGAGGAAATCTGTCTTGGAAGAAGTACAGCCAGAGTGCTCATTAGAAGCGAGGATGGCGAGACTTCGTCTCGTGTCTCACATACTTTGGACATGTTATCAGGAGGGACCAGTCCCTGGAGAAGGACATCATGCTTGATAAAGTAGAGGGTCAATAGAAAAGAGGAAGACCCTCAATGAGATGGATTAATGCAGTGGCTGCAAAAATGGGCTCAAGTATAACAATGATTGTGAGGATGGCACAGGACCAGGCAGTGCTTTGTTCTATTGTACTTAGGGTCACTATTAGTCGGAACTAACTTGATGGCACCTAACAACAACAACAACAAATGTGCTGATGAGTCCCTGAGTGGCAAAAACAGTTAAGCACTTGGCTACTAATGGAAAGACTGGCTGTTTGAATCCACCCAGAGGTACCTCAGAGAAAGTCCTAGAGATCTACTTTCGAAAGATCACAGCCATTGAAAACCTTATGGAGCATAGTTGTACTCCGACACACACGGGGATGCCATGAGTCAGAGTCGACACAATGGCAACTGGTAGTATGTGCCGGGTGCTTTAATATGCATATAAAGCTTGACACGTAGTAAGCGTGCTTTTGTGAGCTGATATTAATATCTTCGTTGCATAATCTTTGTTGCACTCTGTGAGGTGAGTACTATTGTTGCCTCCATTTTACAGAAAAAATAAAATCCAATCTTAGAGACTGTAGGTGACTTGCTCAAGGTCACACACTTAGGTGGTTTTTCAGTCAATGCCTATCATTGAACCAGCAGGGAAACTGAGGCTCACAGAGGGGAAGGAACTTGCCCAAGGTCACGCAGCCTGTGAGTGACAGAGCAGGGACAAGACACCAGACCTTCTCACCACACCCTGCCCAGAGCTCCTCAGATCTTGTCTGGGGTGGGATGGGAGTTGGGTTTGGGGAGCGACCCAGCAACTGACACCCCACCCTCTCCCTGCAAAGTTTCCTTCTGAGGACCGACCTTCCCGCCAACCCTACCCCTTCTCCATCTCTTTGTAGGCAATGCTGGAGACCCAGGGCCTCAACACCAACCAGGACATCTTTCAAGAGGTAACAGCCCCCTGGTGGGTTTAATCTCATGCACACCCCAATCCTGCTTTTGCATCAGCAGCCTTCCCCCCCACCCCATTAATAACAGCAGCAACGACGACAATTACAATAGCTCACACTGGGTGGCAGGCACTGAGCTAAACGCTATATTGCATCACTTCCTTAGTGCTCAATAACAACAGCAACCAGGACAATTACAATAGCTCACACTAGCTGGCAGGCACTGAGCTAAACGCTGTATTACATCACTTCCTTAGTGCTCAGAGCACCCCAATGAGGGAGGCACTTTTATGATCTTTGTTTTACTCACAGGGAAACTGGGATGCAGAAAGGCCCACAGATTACCAGGAGCTTCCAGTTAGTGAATGGCAGAGCTGAGTTTGAGCTCAGCTGTGTTGCCCCTAAAGACTGTGCTCCATGCCCCTACTCAGTGGGTATTACCCGGGGCCATGGGACCTTGTGGGGGCTGGGACCCCTGAAGGCAGCCCCAGGCTCAGGGGATCCCAGCAAGAGGATGCTACTGTTGCTTGCTCCTAATTCCAAAGCCAACCTTGAGCAAGTCCCTTGTGGTGATGGCCTCTGCCTGTTCTTACCCGTGGGAGGGATGCCTATAATCTCACTCCTTAATGTAAGGTTCCACTAAGAACCCACGATCCCCTACCTCAAATGGGCTCTTGTCCTTTTCGGGTAACCTTTCTTAGCTTTCTGGTCAACTCACTGCTCACCATCTGCAATGACTTCTTCAGTTCTTCCCTACTATCCTCAACTCTCCAGCTGCCCCCTTCTGTCCACCTCCCACCTTCTGCTCTGCAAACAACCTTGCCTCCTACTTCCCAGAGCTGGGCAGTGCCATCAATAGAGCTCTCCCTCGTCTTCCTGCTCCCAATCCTACTGATTCACCGACACTTGTGCCTTCCTATTGTTCTTCTCCTGTTCCAATAGACCACGGTCCCTCTGCCCTTCCGAACCTCAGACCTGCCCTTTCTGTCCATCCCCAGTCTGTGAATAAGTATCTCTCTTTCTCTCTCACTCCTACCAATTCTGCAACTCAGAATCTTAGGCATGCCCTTGGCCCCTTCTTCTCCCTCACTCCCATCACTGAAGCCTGTCCCTTTTATGTCCTAAATATTTCTACAATCTGTCCACTTCACTCTGTCTGCACCTCCATCCTAGGCCAAGCTACCATGATCTCTTGTGGGGACACTTCCACAGCCTCCTAGTGGGTCTCCCAGCATTCTGGTGCACTTACAATCTGTTCCTGTACAGCAGCCAGAATAATCTTTTCAAGAAGAAAAACTGATTATTGACCCACCTGCTTAAAACTCATCCTTTATGAATAAGATTCTTAGGATAAACGCAAAAATCTCTGACATGGCCTCCAGGGTCCTGTATTTTCTAGCCCCTGTATAGCTGTAAATCTAGTTGTTTCTCTAAGGATGCTTTTAAAATTTTTCTCTTTGACTTTGGGGGTTCAGCAGTCTCACCAAAAGATGTGGATTTAGTTTTATACATCCTGCTTGGGACCCAGCATGATTGTTCAGTTTCTCAACCACTATCTCTTTGATTATTGCCTCTCCACTGTTTTCTCTATTCTCAACTTCTTGAATTTCCATTAAACATATGTTGGGCCTTCTTATTCTATCTTATATGTCTCTTAGTTGTTCTCTCATAGTTTCCATCTCTTTATATCTCTCTACTAAATTATGGACCAGACCAAACCAAACTCGGTTCTGTCGAGTCGATTCCGACTCATAGTGACCCTATAGGACAGAGTACAGCTGCCCCATAAGGTTTCCAAGGAGTAGCTGGTGGATTCAAGCTGCCGATCTTTTGGTTAGCAGCCATAGATCTTAACCACTATGCCACCAGGGCTCCAAATTATGGACAGTTCCTTCAAATATCTTTTTCAATTCACTAATTCTTTTAACTACTATATCTAATCTGTTTACTCATCCACTGAATTTTTCATTTCAGTATCAATTTTTTTCCTAAAAAAAAAATTCTATTTAATTGGGTTTCAAGCCTAACTGTTTTTTTTTTTACTCTGGAGTCCTTCCATTTTACTATGGTTTCTTCCTTTAATCATTTAAAAATGATTACTTTATAGTTTCTTCTAGACTGTTCTATTATGTCAGATTCTTGGGGTACTTATCCACTTATTTGTTGTGCTTGCTATCTCATGGTGGATGGTTTCTTTGTGTGGTCTGTAATTTTTTGTCTATTTGTAAGATGTTTAGTAGGGTTGGTTTTCTGTGGACACGCTCTGCTCCCTACATTACCTAAATGCCCTTAGAGAGTGGTTTTGTATTTACTTCTGCTGGGGATCCTAGAAATGACACATTCATTTTTATGCTAATTTCTCAACTCAGGAAGTCCTGTACATGCTGGTGGTATAATACATACACCAGGCCTGCATGTGCATGGGCTTGGGTTTTCTATTTATAGCCTTATCCCTACCCTAACACTCCTTGTGGCTTGCTTTGGTCAGTCAAGATTTTTAGTCTCCTTTCACTGAGGGGAAAGTCTTTATTCTACCTCTTCATCTCACTCTTTATCCTCTGAGGGTGTTAAAACCGCAGGCCAATGTGATTTGAACTAATATCCAGGTCCTATTCCTCTCTGGGCCACCTGCTTACAGTTATGACTTTCAGTTCCTTCGTCTTCTCTGGCACCTAAGATTGTCCCTTTCTTTATCTGAGCTCATCTATGTAGTAAATAAAACCTTTGTTGTAATGTGTCCATTGGTTCAATTGTTTGTGCGAGGAGGGGGGGTGGTCCCTGAGTTCAGTCCAACAGGCTGCAGATTGGAAGTCCTGCTGACCTGCCCAAGCTACCTCAGGCCACACTCCTCAGCTCCACTGGCTGCCTGCTGTTCCTTGTATTGGCCATGTTCCTTCCATAGGGCCTTTGCCCATGCTGTTCCTTCTGCCCAGAATGCTTTTCCCACTTTCATCCTCCGTCTGACTCCTCTTCATCCTAAGGGAAGGCCTTCCTCACCTCTCTGACTAGTTCAGATGGCCTCTTGAGGGGTTTGTAGCCTGATGTGTCTTTCCTTTGAAATACTGCCCAGTTGCAACTTTACGCTTATTTATGCGATTATTTAATAAATGTTGAGCTTCCTGAAGGTACAGACCATGTCTATTGGCTCTCTGCTATATCCCCACCTTCTAGCTCAGGGCTGCAGCATAGTCAGTACTCCATAAATATTGTTAAATACAAACAATAGGCCCATCTTTTGAAGGGTTACCGTGCAACAGGTCCTGTTCTAAACTTTTTATATGGATTATCTCGTTTAATTTTCACAAGAAACCTATGAGGTAGACACTATTATCATCCCTTTTAACAGATGAAGAAGGTGAGGCAGAGACAGCTAAGTGAAGGCATTCTTACCACACCCTGAGAGGTGAGCAGGGCAAGAAATATCTTCACCGTTACAGAGAAGAGAAAACTGAGGGCCAGAGAGGACCAGGGTCATGCCCAAATCACAAGGCAAATTAGTGATGGGGTAGGACATAGGACTCAGGTCTGAGTTACTACCCTGGGCTGCTTCCTTTCTTCCTAGCCCTGGGTCCCCAAGTCAGTTTCGCCCCTCCATCTTTGGGGACAGTGGCTGCAGTTGTTCTAACCGGCCCCTGTCCTGGACATGAGGCCCTTGTCTCCCACAGCTTTTCAGCGGCTTCCCCACCAGCCAGGCCCAAGTAACTGTCCACTGCGTCAAGACGCCCAGGATCTCCTGTCAAAACCAGGGTGTCGTGGTCAGTTCTTCCGTGATGGTGAAATTCCTCATCCCACACCCAGGCAGGCAACTCTTTGTGGCTTACGCTTTTGAAGAGGTGAGACGGGATCTATTTAAGGCTGGGAGCAGGGGGCCTGGCCCACAGAGGGGACGTCTGGGGCAGGAATCTGAGGGCCTCTGAAACTTCCAAATTCTTCTCACCCAACTCCACTGTGATTGGTTGTTTCTTAAACCTGGCTTTTCCTTCTGAAGATCATATAATTTATGAGGGGTACATACGGGAATTTCGACAATTTTGGTAATTTTTTTTTCTTGAGCTGAGTGGTGGGACATGGGTGTCTGTCACACAGGTCCACAACCCCTGTCCATACCCACTGGGGCCACATGAGTTTACAAATTCAGAATTTTGTGGCTTTTAGAAAGGTGTGTGTGATATATTACGGAACACTCCCAACGGGGTCGAGGTGGTATTCCACAATCAAACACTTAATATTTCTCCAGCATATGAATATTCACAGGAAGTGAGATAAAGACTCTAGATAGCCTCCCATCCAAATGGCCAGGTTTTGCTGACAAACTTAAGAAAAAAAAACTTTCAGTTTTCAGAGATTGTTTGATTTTGGAAATGTAGATAAAGAATTGAGGACCAATATTATCCCTAATGCCTTTTTGTATGTCTTCGATATTTTTTAATATATTAACAACTAAAGATTAAAATAATTCATGAACATTCTAGAAAATACAGAAAAGGATAAGGAAAAAAACCACAGTCACCCACAATGCCCTTGCCCAGAGACCCCCACTGTGGACACGGGGTGCATTTCCTTCTGGCATTTTATTATTTTTTAATAAACTTTTTTATTTTGGAATAATTTTAGATTTGAAGACAAGTTGCAAAAATAGTACAGAGAGACCTCATATACCCTTCACCCAGTTTCCCCTGTTGTTACCATCTTATATAACCATGGTGCACTTGTCATGACTAAGAGGTAAACACAGGCACATTACTATCAGCCAAACTCCAGGCTTTATTGGGATTTCACCTATGTCTCCACTAATGTCCTTTTTCTGTTCCAGGATCTCACATTACATTTAGCCTAGTTTAAATCTTTTAACATTTTCTACTATTTTATTTCCTTTTTTTTTTTTTTTTGTTATTTAAGGATCTGAAAAGTTCAGAATACTCTAACAAACACCTGTAAACCCAGAATGTTCTGTTTGTTCAAAGAGGATTCACATCCCTCCCCGACACTGACTTTTCTAGGGGTCCCCTCTTGTTTCTGGCTCCTGCAGACATCCCTTCTTGCTTTGTGTTTGGGGGTGTACATAAGCATTTTCAGCAATCTGTGTTAACTAGGTCTTCTGCGTGTGGAGCTGAAACCAGTGCTTCCAGAAGGGACAGCCGGATCTCAAGGGACGGGGAGAGAGTGGTGGGAAAGGTGTCTACTGAGGGAGGAGCATAAATAGGACTTAAAGAGGGAAATCCCAGGATGTGTTTTGGGGGGGTATCCTTTTTGGCTGGGAGAGTTGCAGCTCAGGCAGGGAGGCAGGTCAAGCCATGTTGTGAAGGCTGTGGAAAAGGAAGTGGGCGGAGATGGTATCACTGGGCTGGTGGTGCAGGTCGGATGGGTCGAGGAGCATCAATCTGAGCCCCACCAAAATGGCCGAGTGGGAGCAGTCTTCCAGGGTCAGCTGAGCCACCCCTTCACTGTACAAAGAGAGCCCCAGAAGCCGAGAACCAGCAGGAGACTTGTGCAAGGTCATTTGTCATATTCATAGCAGCGTCGGTAATTTCTGCCCCCCAGTCCTTTTATTTGTTTGTTTGTTTGTATTCAACAAATATCTGGTAAGTTCTTGCACTCAGCCAGGCCCAGGTGGTTCCTGACCTCAGGAAGTGTGTATAGACTAATAGAGATAGACAATTAGTAACTAGCCAAACAAGACTATCTAACTACTAATGGAGCCCTTGTGGCATAGTGGTTAAGAGCTTGGCTGCTAACCAAAAGGTCAACAGTTCAAATGTGCCAGCCACTCCTTGGAAACCCTATGGGGCAGTTCTACTCTGTCCTATAAGGCCAATATGAGTCGGAATTGACATGACAGCAACGGGTTTGGTTTTTGGTTTTTTTTTTTTTTTCGGTTTTAGGGTGGCCTGAGAATTTGCACTTTTCACAAGTTCCCAGGTGATACTGATACTATTGGTCCAGGCACCGCACTTGGAGTAACGCCTATCTAGTGCATTTTCTCTAGAGTGTAAAAATGTAGATAAACCAAACTGCCAGCAGATCCAACCTCTGTTGCTTTGGTGGTGGTCTGGAGGTGGAGGAAGTGAGCTGTGCGGGGAAGCCCCGTCCATGATCATTTCTGGCCAGTGAGGGAAGAAGTGGTTGGGATATGGATAAGTCAGAAACCAGGAGAGAAAGTGCCCATGTGACTTCTCAGGCCCTGAAAGTGAAGCCTCAGGTGCTGGGAACTTTCCCTGGTTTTCAGAAGGTCAACAGCTAGACTGGGCCCCAAGACCCACTGCTTCCTGTGCCTCTCTGATGGCTTGCTGCAGAGTCGAGGGTTCTGGGCAGGGGGGTTGCTCTTTGCTGAGGGAAGGCCTGCTGCTGGCTGAGAATCTGGTTTCTCTCCCCAGGACATCATCACTACTATCCAGGCCTCCTATTCCAAGAAGAAGCTCTTCTTAAGCCTCTTGGATTTCCAGTATGTACTGCAGAGAGAGGAGGGAGTGGCTGGCTCAGCAAATCTCTCCCTGGCCCCTCTAGTGCCAGGCATGGCATGGGTACTGCTAAGGAAACATGGCTCCTTCTTTCCACAGCTAACTGCCAGGGGGATAAGACTCCTACCGAAAAAAAAAAAAAAAAAACCCAAACCTGTTGCTGTCGATTCGATTCCGACTCATAGCAACCCTATAGGACAGAACAGAACAGAGTTTCTAAGGCTGAAATCTTTACAGAAGCTGACTGCCACATCTTTCTCCTGTGGAGTGGCTGATGGGTTCGAACCACCCGCCTTTTGGTTAGCAGCAGAGCGCTTAACCACTGCAGCATAAGGGCTCCTAAGACCCCTATACAGAGTCTTAACTGGGAGGGAGGCACCAGGAAGAATGGAGGGAGGCCAGAGCAGGAGGGACTGCTGGAGCAAAGGCCCAGAGGGAAGGGGGTACCTGGAATGGCAGGTCTAAAGAGCGCCCTCTGGAGGACTCTTTCAAGGAAGTTCTTAAATATTAGACCAGAAGCCCTTAGAATTATTGCTAGAGTTTTTGGGGGGGAGTGTTATGGGAGGGGGCCTAAGCTAAGGCCAAACTCTCATCTCTTTTTGGTTTCAGAATTAAACCAAAGACTGTTTCTAACTTGAATGAGGTAGGTAGTCTTGGGTGACTGGGAGAAACTAAGCCCTGTAGGACTTCATACCTTCAAGAAAGCAGACGGAGGGCCCTAAAGGAAATCAGGCAACAGACCAAAGAAAATTAGAGCAGATGGTTCCTCCTCTGTCTCTTGTGACCCTTCTCCCTGTTGTGTCTGCAGGAGAGCCCTTGGGTGGAGGAAATGAGATCATGGTGGTGGGCGAGGGCTTCAGTTTGCCCCTCTGTGGAATGGGATAACAATCCTAGCCCTCCTCAGAGTCTAGCAGGAATTATTCATAAGAGGCACTGTCTGGTGGTGGGGAAGGCTCAGGAGGAGAGGGGTGGGTTGCATGGGCAAGTGCCCCCACCCCAGGCTGTGTGACCCTCTGCCCTGTGGGTCACTTCTCTGCTCCCAGGGAGCACTGAATTCATGAGCCTCTGATTGGCAGAGCTCCGAGTCCGTCCAGAGCTTCCTGAGGTCAATGATCACCACGGTGGGCATCCCTGAGGTCATGTCTCGTAAGTGTGGGCTGGAGGAGAGGTTGGGGGACACTGAGCATGATGGGGAGGCTCTCACATCATCTTCTAGGCCCTTCCCAGAGCTCCCAGTGCCTCTGACTCTCCAGCCGTCAAAACTTAGCAGTCTTATGTCCCTTTCCCTCAAGGCACCTCTGCCTGCTGGTGACAATGCATGCCAGTGACTTAGCCAGATGCACAAATCTCTGGTCCCGGTTTGTTGTTGTCTTTGTTGTTAGGAGCCATAGAGTCGATCTTGACTCAGAGCGATCCCATATGACAGAGTAGAACTGTCCCGTGGGGTTTTTTAGGCTGTAATCTTTATAGAAGCAGATTGCCAGGTCTTTCTCCTCCAGAGATGCTGGGTAGGTTTGAACCACCAACCTTTCAGTTAGCAGTGCAAATTTTCCTTATCCGTACTAAGGAGATAGATTATACTGTGTTACTAGAACTCCTTGCAGGAAGACCACTCTGCGTATGGTTTCAATGCTCCTTTGATAATAAGCTTCTTAGGGTGAGGAGTGACCCCTAGGGCATGCCTGAGCAGTGACCACCACCACCATCACCAGTGGCAGTTGAGTTGACTCCGGCTCATGGCAACCCCACGTGTGTCAGAACAGAACTGTGCTCCATAGGGTTGCCAATGACTGATTTTTTAGAAGTAGATCTCCAGTTCTTTCTTGTGAGGTGTATCTAGGTGGACTCAAACCTCCAACCCTTCAGTAAGCAGCCGAGCACATTAACCATTTGCACCACCCAGGGACTCCTAAGCAGTGACGGATGCTCCCTAAGCTTCCTTCCTAGCAGGGCAGATCCAGTGAACTGGAGGCCATGTGGCCAACTGGGGGAGGGTTCAAGATTGGGGCAGAGTGGAATTTCTCAGGACAGCAGAGTGGCAGTCCTGCCACCAGATGACCTCTGTCATCACCCTTCCCCAGCAGCACTTGACTTTCATTGTAAATCAAAGAGAAACTAATGTTTATGCAATATTGATCTGGAGGGGCCCCAGTGTCTCCGGATGCCTGGGGTGCCACAAACCTCAGGCTGACCCTGCTCCCCAAGAAGGGCTGACTCTGCTCTGTCCCCTGGCCCAGGGCTGGAGGTGGTGCTTACAGCCTTCATGAACAGCAAAGGCCTGGATCTCTTCGAAATCATCAACCCTGAGATTATCACTCGGGATGTGAGTACAAAGGCCCGCCAGCCCCCACTTTCCAGGGAAGGAGCCTAGAGCAGCATTCTCGGGATGACAGGGGGCTGTGAGGAGACCAGCAGCGGGGTCCTCACAAGCTTGCTCCCTGGTAGCCTGGCACTTGGGGCATCGGCCCAGCCTGACGCTCTCCCCTCACCCCTCCTTCTAGGGCTACCTGCTGCTTCAGATGGACTTTGGCTTCCCTGAGCACCTGCTGGTGGATTTCCTCCAGCGCTTGACCTAGAAGGCTCCCAAGAGGTTGGGATGGAGCTCAAAGCAGAAGACACTCCATGTTGAGCCTGGCTCCAAGGGACCAGACTCACAGCCAAAATGCTGGAGTCTCTGTCCATGGTGGCCGGGCAGGGGAGAGGGTGGGGAGATGGAGACCAGATCCCAACGTCTCCCTGTCGGGAAAGTCTGTTGGCATTAAAGTGCTGTATCAGGAACTGGGGGAACTCTTCTTCTGTGACTGGAGGATATGAGGGGAGGGTGGGGGAACAGAAGCATGTCTCATGGGTCCTTCCCCCTTTGCTGGACAAATCTGATGTGCCCCATCCCTGGCAGTCTACCCTCCTTTCAGCCACCCCTCCCAATTCCATCCACCTTCCAAGCACCTGCTCCTAAGCCCTCCATGTTCCCCGGGGCCTGGAGGAAGAAATCCAAGCTGCTCACCTTCGAGTCTAGGCTTGCCATGATTACCATCAGTTGCTGTCGAGTCCATTCTAACTCATGGCAACCTCATGTGTGTCAGAGTAGAACTGTGCTCCATAGGGTTTTTCAAAAGCTGTGATCTTTTGGATGCAGATTTCCAGGCTTTTCTTCTGAGGCACCTCTGGGTGGACTTGAATCTCCAACCTTTCAGTTAGTAGCCAAGTGCATTAACCATTTGCACCACCCAGAGACTGTCTCTATGACTGTGCTCCTGGATACCTTCCAAACTCATCTCCATAATCCACCACTCCTCAGCAGAGCCTCTTCCCATCACTCTGGTACTGCTCCCTTTGCTGGATAATCCTGACAAGCCATCTCCCAGCAGACCACCCTCCTCCCACCTCTCCAGAACCCCTTCCACCCTCCCAGAGCCAGATCAGGCCCTTCTCTGGGAATCTGTGCTGATCACCCACAAACACCCTCCAGTGCCTCCCTTCCAAGTTCATGCAGCTACTACCCATGTGCACCACTCACAGCCCCTTAGCTCATCAAGCCTGAGGCTCCAAGGAGCACCAACATGCCCAGGACAAGATGATGGGTCCTCAATAGCAGCAACAGAATACAACTCTGGTGAAAACCAAAGAAGTGACTATATTTGGGGGCATCTTGAATAGCTCATAGAATGGACAGGAGGCTGCAAAGCAGGGCTTGGATCTTAGGGTAGGGCCCAAGGCATCTTGAGACCTTGAGACAGCAAGGACTTCCCAGAGGTTTCATCAGGTAGCACCTAGTGGACGATCATTCCTAGCTGGTTTCCCATCCTTGCACTAGTCCTGATTGGCTGAGCTTGGGTGAAGTCCCGCCCCTTGGCTGGGAACACGCACCTTGATGGACAGCCCTGTCCAAGTTTCCACCCTGAGGAAACTCACACTTGGGGGGGGGCACAGACAACGACACTCACTTTCAATCTTACAGTGGCCAGTAGAAGTGGTGGCATTGGGCTATGTCCTGAAGGCTGAGCAGGAGTTTGTCAAGTGGACACATGAGAAAGGTGCCCCAGCCACAGGGACAGCAGGTTAGGTCCAAAAACATTCACCCACTCACTCATCAATTCACTGATTCACTGATGAATTTATTTCAGTCATTGATCAAACTTGTTGTTGTTATTGTTACTTGCCGTTGAATTGGCTCTGATACAAGGCGACCTTATGTGCAACAAAACAAAACCTTACCTGGTCCTGCGCCATCTTCGTGATCACTGGTCTGTTTGAGTCCACTGTTGTGGCTATTGTGTCAATCCATCTCATTGAAGGTTTCCTGCATTTTCATTGGCCCTTTACTTCACCAACCATGATGTCCTTTTCTAGCTATTGGCCTTTCCTGATGATGTGTCAAAAGTGAGTCTAAGTTTTGCCATCCTCACTTCTAAGGAATATTCTCATTGTATCTCTTCTAAGACTGATTTGTTTGTTCTTCTGGCAGTCCACAGTATATTCTTTGCCAACACTACAAACATACCGGATCAAACATACCAGATAATTTTGATTGTCCCTGCGTTCTCTCCAAGAGGTAGAACCTTGGACCTAGATGCTGGGGCTCAACATGTGGCTGCCTCTTTGGTCAACAGAGAGCCTCTCTCAGACCCCCTCTCTCTGCTCCCCCAGGTCCTTTCAGTCCCTTTGCCCACTCACCATCAAAGTTCTTATCTTCTTTTCTGACCAGCCTCCTGCATGAGTGTTCACATTCTCTGTTCCATGTGGTTCCAGTGCTGGACAGGAAGTGTGGGAGGATGGGGGAAATAGAGGTCTGGTTTCTGTGGAGGAGGAGGATAAGGATGAGCATGAGGCCTTCAAAAAGCAAATCAGACTTCTATATGGAAGAGAAGACTCTCAGGAGCATATTTCCAGCCTATCTTATTATGCTCAGAGTATCTTCTGCTTCCCATCCTCCAACTACAATACAAAAAGTTTCCTCTTTTCATCTTAGACTTGGGAGGTACCAGACTCCAGAAGGGGTGTGTGTGAAGAAGATGCATCCTGCTACGTTGGCCAAGCAGGGTGGGGAAAAGCATAGGAAGTGCAAAGGACCTAGGGTAGAAGGGAGCATGACAGCTTCAAGAAACTTAAAGAAGGCAGGTATAGCACAGAGAGCAAAGGGCAGAGGGTGAGAGATGAGGCCTGAGTGATAGGCAGGGCCCAGATCATGAAGATGGCAAGGGGGACACGGCCTTTACTTTAAAGGTCAGGACAGATGACCAGGAAGCGGGGGCTGGGGTGGAGCTTGGCAGTGGGATGCCCCCTTAGGTTTGGGATGATTTGAGGGGAGGGTACAATCTTCTGAACCAGGTCCCTCCCAACTCCTCCCCCTCCAAGTGCTTTCTTCCTAGGCCTGTTTCTCTTTTTTCTCAGGGCCCAATGCGAACGTCTGACCCACTAAGCTGAGTAGGTCCACTTGTAGGGGGCAGGCAGGCTTTCACAGCGGCGCTTGGCAGACAGAGTCAAAGCCGTCTCACCCATTCACCCATCACTGACTCCAATGTGGAAATTCCAAGCCTTGAGATATTAGCCTTTGGGGTCATGTCCCTGTCAGAAGCCTCACTCCCCAGACAGCGTCCCCTGGAGAGGGCTGGAAAACCCCAGGCTCTCCCTTGATGCCAAGTTGACAATATCTTGGCAGCCCTGGCCAGCTGCTTCCTTGTGTATAAATTTTATCATCACTAAGGGCAGGCAGAGAAGTTCCTTGGCGTCCTGCCCCTTGTGGACCCCAGCCCAGCCAGTATCCTTCACCAGAATGCCCTGGGGCTCGTTTCTGCTCTAGAAAGGAAGGTAGGTACACCCTCTACTCCCAGCTTCCTTCTCCCCTAGGTTTGAGCTGAGAGGGCCCTTACACGCCACCGTACTGCCCAAGGAATGCATTTAAAGATGGGGAAGCCGAGTCCCAAAGGTGAAGAGGTTGCTGGAACAGCACTGAACTGCTCTCCCAAGTCCTGGTCCCTCTGTCCTGCCTGAAGCTTTAGCCTGGGCCTGGCAAGACCAGGAAGTCCTCCCAGCATGGGCGAGGCCTTGCCCCAGTCATCCAAGGACTTCTTCCCAGAGTCACCCAAGGGAGGAGGCTGTGCCTGCTGCTCCCTGCAGGGAGAAAACAAGAGCTGCCCAAGGCCAGGAGCAGCCGGAAGCACATCCTACTGCCTGGGCTGCTGACCCTGGGCAGAGTGGCAGGGTGTTTGGGACCAGGCCTCAGGCAAGTGGGAAGTGTAGGGAGAAGATGTGGCCTTCAGACCTGGGCAACATCCCAGAACCACCAATCACTACTTCTGCCATCCTGGGCCCTCTGTGCCTTAGTTTCCTCACCTGTTAAATGGGATGATAATAATTCCTCCTGCATAGGGCTCTCATGGGGACTGGGTTAGCCTTGCCGGAGCATGGCACCGTGGCCAATAGCATGGCTCTGGAGCTGGCCTGCCTGGGTCCTGATCTCGGCTCCTCCACCTCCAACTATGTAATATCAGGTGTGTTATTTAGTTTCTGCCTCAATTTCCTAGAACAGTGTCTGGAATATTATAAGCACTCTACGAATGCCAGTATTGTTATACTTCATGGAGAGGAGGTTCTTGGCACACACAGGTGCCCAGTTAATGTGGGCTCCATGCCCTGGTTCCCCCTGATTCTGCCCCCCAGCTGCCTCCTATGTTCCCTCTGCTGTCAGTCTCTCCTTGCAAACCTCCTGTTTCCTACCGGAGAGTCCAAACACTCAAGATTCCCTCTGATCTCCACCCCTAAAATCTGATTAGCTTCTTCACACTCAAGTGTAAATGACTGATAAGCATTTCGCTTATATTGGGAGAGGCTTTTATCCTTCAGCCTGAGGAGCTACGTACAGTTGGCTGTCCACATCCACGGATTCAACCAAACACAGATGGAAAAATATTGGGGCACAGGGGTTGCAGAAACCAAAACTTGAATTTGCCCCTCACCGAACACTACAGTGAATCCACATGAATGAAGTGATGCGTAGGCATGCCCTGCTGTTGCCTTCCACCATTTCACAGATCCTTGGTCTCTCTCCAGCACTCGTTTAAAGCGTTGTTCATCTAGTGTCTTGTCATTATTCCCTAAACAATACAGTATAACAACTATTCCCATAGCATTTACAATGTATTAGGTATTATAAGTAATCTAGAGATGATTCGAAGTGTCCGGGAAGATGTGCGTAGGTTATATGCAAATACTACACCATTTTACATATGGGACTTGAGCATCCCCAGATTTTGGTATCTGAGCAAGTCCTGGAACCAATCCCACAGGAACAACTGTACTAATAATAGACTTTTAGGCCACAGGCCAGGCTGAAGAGGGGGAGAGTTTGGGAAGGTAGCTCCCCTAGCACCCTTCTGTGAGAACTGTGTTCAAGACCCAGCTCTGTCTCCTGGTTGCTCTGTGACCTTAAGCAACTTTCTTGACCTATCTGGTCCTCAACTTCTTCATCCACCAAATAGTACAATGGCCTTTGTCTTATCCACCTTGTGGAGTGGTTCAGGATTAAATGCGTCTACAAACGGTCAGCATTTGTCTCTCTGGAGCACAATCTCTGGATTGTGGTTATTTATCTACCTGTCTCATTGTCTCTTCTTCTGAAGTGGGGAACAGGCCAAAGTCTCTCCTGGGACCTCATGTAGGGCCAAGCACACAGTAGGTGCTAAGTGAACAGGAACTCAACTGAAACGCACATCCAACCCCTCCCATGTGTACAGCTGATCACCCATGTTCTCATCCATTCCCTACCACATCTTGCAGAGGCCAGTGGAGGCTGGTAAGCCCATTAAATAGACAAGGAAACTGAGGTCAAGGCACTTACCTGAGGTCATGCAGCTAGAAGTGGCAGAGCTGGGAATCACACACAAGCAATTTGACTGCAAAGTCCATACCCTTCCCACCCCCTGCTTCCATGACTTCTAGATATCCCAGTTGGTCCTAGGAGGGGGCAACTTGAATCTCAGGGATGTGGGACCTGGAGATGGGGACAAAAATGGAAGGACAGCTCATGAGTTTCAGGCACAGACTGCATCAGCCCCAACTTAAGGTCATCAAATTCTCATGACCAGTCTTTATGGAGGTATTATTATTATTATCATCCCCATATGCCAGATGACAAAACTAAGGCTCAGAGAAGTAAAGGCACATGGCCAATGTAACACAGCCAGTAAATTGAAGAGCTGGGACCTGAAACCAGGTGTGTTTGTAGCTGATGGTTGTGCTCTTGACAACTACCTTGCAGTGCCCTCACACCCACGAACCCTCGCCCACGGCTGACTTGGGGGGGGGGCAGAGGTGGTCTGGGAGTGAATGCTGCTTGCCCCACCGTGGGGAGGACACAGGGAGGTGGGTTTGGGCTCAACATCAGGAACACCTTCCTAGCAGAAAGATCTGTCCAAAGAGTGAGTAAGTCCTCTGCAGAAGGAGGGGAGCTTGGTGTCCCAGGAGGTGCCCAAGAAGCCAAGGAACGGAACCAGTTTTCAGGACTGCCCTTGACCCTCTCCTGAGGGAGCAGCCTTCCCTTCTTTCCACCCCCTTCTATTCCCCTCCCCTTCTCTCCCTGCTCCCCTCTCTTCCTCCTCTCTGCCTGTGATTCACTGTGTGACTTAGGCAAATTCCTTCACCTCTCCCCTCTCTGAGCCTCAGTGTGCTCATCTGTAAAATGGGGTAATAATACGTGCACCTGCATTTTAGGATTACCTTGAGGATAAGATAAATAAATCTCTGTATAGTATTTAGCCGGCATCTGGCCAGGTAAGGGCTCAGGTAATAAGCCCCATTATTACTGCCGTTATTCTCCTCTCCTCTCACGTCCTGGAGACCACCTCAGGCTGGGAGTCAGGACCCCTGATTTAGACTGCTCCTCCTGCACAGCCAGCGAGCTCCTCCCTCCCATCCTTCCTAGTTTCCGAGGAAGCAGGGAGAGGTAGACCCCACCCCAGGGTGTGCCTGTGTTGCCAACCCCATTCCTCTGCCTCAGTTTCGCGTCCACCTAAGGGGCGAGCGACCCCGCGTCCTCTAGGGCTGTCCCTGGGTCCTCCCCGCAAAGTGGCGCTGAGCGTCCCGGGCGAGCGTGTGCGGGAAGCGGGTATGTCCGCCCCTGCCCATCCTGGCCCCCGCCCGCGCCAACGCCCGCTCTGTGGCTGCTGCCTCTAATCCACGTGATTTCCCGGCTGCGGCTGCCTGCCGGTGCTCTGCATTCACTGAAAGGTTCTGGGCGCGCCTACTTTCAGTTTCTGGCGGAGCGCGGAGATGCTCGGAGCAGCCGGTGAGTGCACTGAGCTCCGCGGGGCTGCGGGTCCCTGGCTGAGGCGAGGGGTGAGGGGCGCGGGGAGGTTTGAGGTTCAAATCCTGCCCGGAAAGGGCAGGAGAGGATGCCAGGGGACCTTGAGGTGGAACGTACCGATAGCCAGGTGGATGTACGAATGAAAGGACCGACAGACAGACCGGAGGACTGGTGGGCAGATGGGGTGCCGTGGCCGGGGCATCGTACAGCCTGCTACCCTGGGGAGTTTGGGGGATGAGTTGCGAATCACAGGTGAAGGCAGACCGGGATCTCCTGGGTTGGGAGGCCGGGGGATGTGGCTGCGCTCCCTCCTGCCGGTCACCAACTTGGAGCCACGCTCTTTTGCTTTTTCCCTTTTCAACTTTCAATTGCTTTTATAAAGACTTATGGAAGTCGTACTGTTCGTTATGCACAATTCAGACTTTGTAACTTAAAAAAACTTTATTACGGAAAATTTCAAGCATATGCAAAAGTAGAAGAAATAGAATTAGGTTGAGCCATATGAACTTTCTGAGTTTGATATAATGAATCCCCATGTGGCCACCAGTCAGCTTCCACCGTTGTCTTGTCACAGCTAGCCCCAGTTTCATTACAATTTCACCCTCCCTCCCGCCATTATTTTGAAACAATAGCAGACACCATAGCGTCCCAACCAACATATTTCAGAATGTACTAAAAGATATAGTCCTTTCAAAAACAAAACCAGGCTACCATCAACATACCTGAAACAACTGGGCGATAATTCCTTAATGTCGAACCTCTACAGACTATTTCTAATGGACATTTTCACTTCTTAAGTAATAGGGAAAAACCTGGGTTTTGTCTTGTTACTGGCTTTTTGCACTTCCATGGGGCTTTCGGCCACTTCCCCACTAGGGAGGCCAGGACCAGCTGTTTGCTAGGTGGTCATTGGAGAGGGGCTGGAGTTGCTGGAGAGCGCCCCTTTTCTAAGTTGAGGTTCTTAAGTTTCCTTTTTAAAAGGTTGAGGGTTCTGCTGACTTTAAAAGCAGCTTGAAAACCAGCCTCCGTAGATCTGGGGGTGGCAGGAGGTGGGGTGGAGCCCAGGCCAGTACCCAGCGACTTGTCCCTCCAAACTGCCTTTCCTTGCCTCTAAGGTGGCAATGACGCCCCTGGGTGACACAAATGGTTTGTTCTGACTACTAACCTAAAGTTGGTGGTTTGAACCCACCCAGCAGTGTTGTGGAAGAAAGGCCTGGGTGATCTGCTCCCATAAAGATTACAGCCAAGAAAACCCTATGGAGCAGCTCTACTCAGTAACACACGGGGTCACCGTAAGTTGGAATCTACTTGATGGCAATGGATTTGGTTTGATTTTTTTTTTTTTTTTTAAGGGAGAAATAAATCTTGAAAAGCACTAGACTTGGTCTCTTTGCCAGCGAACAGAGGCGGGAGGTAAGGTTGATGATTTCAGGGTACACCTGGACTCCCCATCCAGTGCACTTCCTTCAAACCTCACCGGACTCCAGCGCCGACTAGCCATTGATTTCACCCACCTGCCTCCTCTCCAGAAATTCAGCACAAGATTGAGTGGCACCTGGCATGGTAGGCAGACAGGGGCCCTCAGCATGTTGTATTTGCTGGATGACCTTGGGGTAGCCATTTCCTCTCTCAGAACCTTGGTTTTCTATAAAACTGAGATGGTAAGGTATCCTTCAAAGGGTGTTTCATGGATTAGATTAGATGACGTATACCAAGTGCTTGGTTGTTTTACTTTCTTAGTGCTGCTGTAAAAGGAATACCATAAATGGCTGGCTTTAATGAACAGAAATTTATTTTCTCACAGTGTAAATGGCTAGAAGTCTGAATTCAGGGTGCCAACTCTAGGGGAAGGCTCCGTCTGTCTGCTTTGGAGGAAAATCCTTATTTCAGCTTCTTCTTGGAAGATCTTAGTGATGTCCGTGAGAACTGTATCTTCCCGTTCTTTTGTGCTTGCTTCTCTGTGTCTAATCTGATCTTATATCTCAAACGTGAATAGGTTTCAGACACACCCTGCGTAGGTATGGAGCCCTGGTGGCACAGTGTTTGAGAGTTCTGCTGCTAACCTAAAAGATCGGCAGTTTGAATCCACCAGCCGCTCCTTGGAAACCCTGCGGGGCAGTTGAGCCTTTATGACTGTTTGAAACCAAAAAAACGGGCATATGCTGCAAATTACTATTTCTACAGGGTATTGTATGAGATGTGTGCATTTTTGGTAGGAAACATAGAAATTTTGAAAATTTTTCTTTGGGACACTGTATGTCGCTCTGAACTCTAGGGGAAACCTGGGGTACAATTAGTGGGACAAGGTATGTCCCTAGGGACTCAGAGGGTAGGATTGTTGGTGGGGGCAAAAAGAAAAAAAAAATCCATACTACCTACCAAAAATTCAACAACACAATGATTCAGCATGTTTCCATTAAAGAAAACACATGGCATCAACAAAAAATTCAAAGCAGAAAATAATTGAGTCTTGAATTAAAGTACCACACAAGTGTGAGGTTGAGTCCTTAATGAAGGCAGACAAGCAGAAGGGAAAGTTCTTTGGAAGTTTCACAGTATACTTAACCTTATTCCAGGACAGAGGTGTCCAGATGTTTGCAGGTCCAAGGTCAGCCTCTCCCCACCCAACAATATAGTCCGTCTCTTCCGGAGAAAATTCAGCAAAAACTCGTCAACATGCCTTTTCCCATCCCAGCATTTCCTCTGCCTTATACACAGAGTTGGACTAAGCATTGAGAAACTAATGCAAGTGCAAATGCTTTGTAACAGCTTTTCATAGAGCTCTGATGGTGGAAGCTACCGCGTTTCTTTGCTGAATCTATTTTTTTAGTATTGGCTTGTGGCCCAAAATCAACAGACCCCAAAGTAGATGTGGCTAAGACTCAGAGCACAGGGGAAATGCTCAGATGATTTGAACGTGAAAAAAGAAAAAATCAGAAAATTTGATCAGTCTGGCTGTTGGTACAGGCTGTCTGGAGAAGAGAAGCTTTTTGGGTCCCTAAGACTACCCTAGAGGAGGCCTGGTGGTGCAGTGGTTAAGGTGATCGACTGCTAACTGAAAGATTGGCAGTTCAAAACCACCAGTGGCTCCTCAGGAGAAAGATGTGGCAGTCTGCCTTGGAAACCCTGTGGGGTCGCTATGAGTTGAAATCGACTCGATAGCAGTAGGTTTAAGACTACCCTGGAGGACATGTCTCTGCCATCCACTGCATCTAAAACCAGGCAGAAGTGGTGAGGCAGGCAAGTGCTTGGTTATATGTGGGACTTCACTCTCTGGGAATGTTTTCTCACTTGTGCAATTGGCATGACTGTGTAACACGTATGCTATTTAGAATTTCTGGGCTCTTGAGAGCTGGGTAAAGTTTTCCTGAACCCCCATTCTGCTACTTAGGGAAGCCCTAAGTGTTCTCAAGATCTCTGTGGATCTGGAAGGTGGGTGTGGATGTGAGCTTAGTTCTCCTGGCCATCTCTGACCCCAGGCTCCTCTTCTGTTCTGTGGTCATCCTCTCACTCTTGTTGACCAGTCATGAAGCCAGCAGGTTCTCTTGGTGGGGAGATGGGAGGAAAGTCTGGGGAAGCATGAGTTTAGTCATTCATCCTGCCTGTCACAAGCCTGACTGTCTGTGACAGGGCCCCATTCCATCTCGTGAGTCTTCCGATAAACTCCCAGACTCAGGAGGTGTCCCCAGAAAGGCCTTTAGCAGCCCTTCTGGCTGGGATGCTCTGACTTTTGGCAAAAGAGAGCTTAAAGGAGCCTAAGGAAAGATTGAGTTCACACTCAGAGATGATCTCGATGACCAGTTTGGTTTATTTCCTTCCAGACTTTTTTTGTGTGTGTATATTAATATATACGGAATCGTATATAAAAACAAAAATGGAATCAAACTTTTAACACTAGATAATATATAATGGAATTATGTATTAAAGGAGAATTAAATATCTCCTATGATATCATTTCTTAAATTGTTTAATTTTTCAGTAGCTAACACATAAATATAGTACAAAGTATAAAACATACAGAAGAATATATAGTGAAAAGTAAGTATCCCCCCTTCCATGTCTTCCAGCCGCGTACTTACCCTCCCTGAAGGCAACCGATATTATCAGGGTCTGTGTCTCCTTCCAAAAATAGTCTGGGTGGGTCTTTACAAACACGAATATATAAAACATTTCCTCTTTTCACAGATATGAGTATATTCTGTGTAGTGTCCTCTATCTTGGTTCTTTTTGTTTGTTTGTTTGTTTGCTTGCTTGCTTGCTTTTTATTTTGATACTTAACAATGTATTTTGGAAATATTTCCACATCAAAACAAAAAAGGCTGCCACTTTTCTTTTTCTTCTTAACAGTTACACAGTATTTCATTGTATAGTTGTTCTATGTTGGGTTTAACTATTAGTGGACATTTAGATTGTTTCCTGTGTCTTGCCCTTCCAAATAGTGTCATAATGAATATCCTTGTACAAGAATCGTTTTTGTGTGTGAAGGAGTGGGTCTTTAGGACAAACATCCAAGAGTGGATTGGCAAGGTCAAGGGGAATGTCCAGTTTGAACTTTGATAAACATGAGTAGATTACCCTCCGTAAGTGTTGTACTAATCTTCGCTCCCACCAGCTGTGTGTGAGAGTGCCTGCTTCCCACACCCTCCCCAATACCCTGTGTTATTAAACTTCTCCATATTTGCAAACCTCCGAGACGAATAGTGGTGTCTTTTTTGCATTTCTCTTATTATGAATGAGATTGGACATCTTTTCAAACATTTAAGAGCCATCCGTAGTTCCTTTTCCATAAACTGTTCGTATCCTTTGCTGTTTTTTTCTATTGGATTTGTTGGTCTTTGTTCCTATGGAGCTGTAAAAGCACTTTACATATTAAGGAAATTATCTCTTTGTGATACGAGTGTAACATCATTTACTTTTTAAATTTTAATACACTATTTTTTAGAGAAGTTTTAGGTTTACAGAAAAATTGTGCAGAAAGTACAGAGCGTTCCCATATACCCCTTCTCCTTTCCCCACTCCCTACAGTTTCCTCTGTTATTAACATCTTGCATGTGTATGGCATATTTGTTACAATTGAGGAACCAACATTAATTCGTTATTACTAACTTAAGTCCATGGTTTACATTAGGATTCACACTTTGTGTTGTACAGTTTTATGGGTTTTGACAAATTCATAATATCATGTATCCACCATTACAGTATCATGCAGAATAGTTTCACTGCCCTTAAAACATCCTGTGCTCCTCCTCTTCATCCCTCCTTCCCTCCCCCTGAGCCCCTGGAAACCACTTATCTTTTTTACTGTCTCTATGGTTTTGCCTTTCCCAGAACGTCATATAGTTGGAATCATACTGTATATAACATCATTTGAAAGAGCTGAATGGTTGTCCGTTGAATGGCAGAACCATATCTACCATTGTTGAATATCTAGATTGGGTCACATTTTCTCTTATTACACATGTAATGTTTCCCTTCTTTATATAATAAACAAAGTGTGACATCTTAATTGTTTCAAAATCTCTCTCCAGAAGTTCTCTCAGGGGAGGAATTATTTTTGAGAAAATGCCTTGATGGACCTTGGGGTGGGTGGGACCTGTGTGCAAGGTTGTCACTGTCGGCAGGGACCAGGACATCCAAGGAGAGAACACTGCTTTGCATGGAGTGTGTGAGAGGAGGGGTGAGGGGAGGGTGCTCTGTTGGCTTCTGACTGGAGAGAGGAGAGAAGGGAGGAGGGGGAGAAGGTGGAGAGAGGCTAGGCTACACTGGGAGAAGACCCCAGGAAACTTCTGGGGGGTGGGATGGCCAAAGGGCATTGTTGGTCACGTGAGGCCTCCTGTTCCTTGTGAGATGAGTACTCACAACACAACCCCCTCCTCCTCTCCCCACCCCTGCACTCATTAATCCATTCGGCACGTGTCTACTGAGCTTCTGCATGCTCTAGGGTCCTGGCTGTGGCTGGGAACACAGCAAAGTCCCTGCCCCTTGGGACTGATGTGCCTGGGGGAGACCAACAATAAGCAAGTAAACAAAGACATACAATCTGACATCCAGTGGTGGCAAGTGTGGTGTGGGATAACAGGCAGGTGAGAGGACAGAGCCTGCTGGGCACGGGGGAGGCAGTGTTCCGGGCAGGGGCTAGGCAGGCTTTCTCATAAGGAGCATTTGGGACACTTGAGGGGAGAGACTTGATAGGAGTGAGGGAGAGAACTATGAACCATGAAGATGTCTGGAGAAAGTGTCAGCTGGGTAGCAGGAATGGCAAAAGGAGAAGGCAGGGTGGAGGGGGTGGGTGGAGAAGAAAAAGAGAAGTTGTTTAAAACTTGGTGTGGTCACAAATGCTTCCTGTAAGATTTTTTTTTTTTTAAATATTTTATTGTGTTGTAGGTGAAAGTTTATGTAGCAAATTAGGGTCTCATTTAAGAATTTTTATACAGATTGTCCATAACATTAGTTACAATTTTTACAATGTGTCAGCATTCTCAACGTTTCTACTTTGTTTGCTCTGTTTCCATTGGTCTAACTTCCCTTCCCCTCGTTGCCTTCTCATCTGGCAACTGTTGGGT